TATATATATATATATATATATATATACAGCTCCATCAGCAACAACAGTATGTCATATACAAATGTTAAATATAAATCTATACTAAACTTACACGTGTAAGTTTAAGAACGAATGAAAACTTCCAGATTTATCCAAAATAAATGAATTTCAAAAACGTTACTTAGTTAATAGTGTTACGCTCGTGCAGAGAGTTATATTGACCGGAACGATAATAAAAAAAGGCTTACGTTTATTCATTATTATCACGTGAGAAAGTTCTACCTCCAACTATTACGCTTGTAAAGAAACGAATGAACATACTGCCATATTATCGTGTGTGTGTTTTAATTGTATAATACCATATCAAGTACTAAGAAAGCGTTATGTATTGTTGTTATATTTTTGTAAGTACTATCACAGTGAAAATTTGTTTCATTGCATAGAAAATCGGTTAGACGTGTGTTATATGACAAAAAGAGGAGCCTAGCATATTTTACTAGAGATCAAGATGCCTTGTACTTTTAATAAATAATGTTGTTTCATAAAAAATCCTAATTTTTGGACCAATGACAATTGAACGTCTTTGCATTAAAGCTATATTATTATTATGCTTTAAAAAAAGTATGTGTTGTCTTTATTCTCCAGTAGGAAGTAGTTGCTCACAATTTTTATACATTTGGTTTATAGTTTATTGCGATTTATGACAAATAGATACATTTTCAGGGTATGGAATAATGTAATCCGGAGTTCAATCCCCCGCGGTGGAGAGAGAGCGCAGCTAAAAAAGGAAAGTTGTCTTCTATATTGTAGGCCTAGTATGGTCTGATGATTAGGGCGCTTGACTCGCAATCCGCGGCTCATGAGTTCGAATCTCCTTCACCGGACATGCTCGTCCTTTCAGCCGCGGTGGCGTTATAATGTGACGGTGAATCCCATTATTCGTTGGTAAAAGAGTAGCTCAAGAGTAGGCGGTGGGTGGTGATGACTAACTGCCTTCCCTCTAGTCTTACACTGCTAAATTAGGGACGGCTAGCGCAGATAGCCCTCGTGTAGCTTTGCGCGAAATTCAAAACAAACAAACAAAAATGTAATAAGTTGGGAAGTTTATTTTTTGGCGCATTGAGAAAAAATTACATCCAACATTTATAAAGTAAGAAGATTAAAGTGATTGAATATACTTTTCTTTAAACTGTTGATCGTGTAACATAGTACAAAGAGATAATCCTAAAAAAATAAAGTTTTGAATCGCTAAATTACACTCATACATTTCATAATTAACGTATCGAGAAAATACTCATTACTACTTTTGTGATAGAGGTCATAGAAAACAACCAATCACGTGTAGAGGTAATAGAAAACAACCAATTATGTATAGATATAATCGAAAACAACCAATTATGTATAGATATCATCGAAAACAACCAATCACGTATAGCGGTCATAGAAAACAACCAATCACGTATAGAGGTCATAGAAAACAACCAATCACGTAATGGAGGTCATAGAAAACAACCAGTCACGTATAGAGGTCATAAAAAACAACTAATCACGTAATGGCGGTCATAGAAAACAACCAGTCACGTATATAGATCATAGAAAACAACTAATCTCGTATATAGTTCATAGAAAACAACCAATCACATAATGGAGGTAGATTTTAACACAAATTGAGATTCTAGAGTAGGCTTTATGTTGACAGGTTCACTCATGCTTTCCTTTTTAGTACAAAGCTGCATAATTGTCTATCTGCGCTCTCTCCACCGCGGGGGATCGAACTCCTGATTACATTATTCCATACCCTGACAACGCTAGAATCCGGGTTTCAATAGCCCATTGTGTAGCTTTGTGCATAATTACAAACAAACCATACCCTGAACCATCCTAACCACCTGGTCATGCCAGGCCCAAAAGTTGAATGACAAATTTAGGAGGCTACTTTTAATAAGGTTTATTAAAATACACATGAATTTAAAGCATATGAACAAGATCCCCACATATTAATGACGAACACTTTAAAACAGCTGTTAATAAATAATTAAATTACTTGTTTACAGTCTTCAAAAAGAAATTATTATTAAAAAGGTTTTTAAAAAAAACAAACAGTAGTTAATTATAAAACTCACATATTTTGAAGAAGAACACCAGGGCTATCTGCGTTAGCCGTCCCTAATTTAGCAGTGTAAGACTAGAGGGAAGGCAGCTAGACATCACCATCCACCGTCAACTCTTGGGCTACTCTTTTACCAACGAATAGTGGGATTAACCGTCACATTATAACGTCCCCACGGCTGAAAGGGCGAGCATGTTTCGTGGGACAGAGATTCGAACCCACGACCCTCAGATTGCTAGTCGAGCGCCCTAACCACCTGGACATGCCGGGCCAATTTTGAAGGGATAAGACTAGAGAGCGAGAACTTAGTCGGCTCGGCCCATCCCTAACTCTTGAGCTTTTTCTTCTGTATTTTTGTAAATTAACGACTGTCCCTTGTACTTCTGTGGACGTCGAGTCGGTCACTTTCTTGAACCATTGCGGCTGTAGATGAAAGAGACTATATAGGCCTAACTGACCGTTCTGCGAGAAAACCACATTTTACTGTGAAATATCACGTGGTATTCAGATTGTATTAAGTTTATATGGGATAATTAGTGTCAGCATGAGTAACAAGTGAACAGTTTTGTTGATTTTAATAAGCCATTCTCTCTACTTTACCCCGTGTTCTGTTTAAACAGATTTGTTGAACCGTGTATTCTTGCAAATATGTGAGTTGATTTTGAAAAACAAAACTGTAAAGATTATTACAGTAGATAAATATTTATGCGTCCCTATAAAAATGTCTCATAGAAAACCTTATGAAATAACGTCAACACTAGATGTTAGGTTACACGTCAGCATTTGATAACGCTTTAAACAGAAGAAATTCAAGATTAGATCAAATATACATGCTTGTGTATGAATAGGGGAGAAAGCAAAGTACGTGCAACTTTTGTTTGTACATGTGCTGCCATCTGTTGTTCAATAAATATAACTACAAAATGTTAATTTTCCATCTTCCAAAAGTTGCTTGGCTAATCTTGTTTCTTAAGGCAAAAATTCTCCAAAGAAGCCCAGTGTTGATTTCTTACTTCTACGTCACTGGCAAGATTTAGATAGGTTGACAAGAAAAGCCCCCAGTATAGACTTGCTTAATGCTTTAGCTTAGAACTGTTTCTTTGGTTTACCTAGTATTTAACAAATAG